ATTCTCTGAGCTCTGGTGAACCAGCCTCCAGAACTCCTGCAAGTGTCCCAGCCCCAGATGATTCTATCCAGAGAGCGGTGTGGAGGGCACCGGAAGCTGCACTCAGGGGTGCCTTACAAGAAGAAACACATTGTGTCTATTGGGACTTTTCAAAAAACAAAGCTCCATTTAGCTATCAGCAATATTGGGGTTGGATCCTCACAGAAGTCTCAATTTCCCTATATTTTTGGGGTTATCCCAATTTTAATTTCTTGGTCTCCAAGTCACTGGGCAAACAATCCTTGTTCCACCAACATTTATATATACCTGACACCGCTACGCAATGACCCATCCTAATATTCTAGAAAGGCCCAGCTAGAGTATCAAAAGATCCGGCCAGATGTACCCCACATCCATCTAAATGCCTTCTAGTCATATCAACTCCCTGTTTACTGGCTATGAAGGCTGAATCCCAGAACTGGACATGTAGCAAGAGAGTAGACCTCATCCACCCTTCTGTTTCCCTGTATTTGCTGTACAAGAGGGATTGACTTTCAATGACCACAACATTCTATCAGGGCTTTTACAGTAGCTGCCCCACAACCACCTTCAATGATGAACCCACCCTAAGGGCTCATTGCTCACTACTGCACAGTCTCCTCTGGATGCTCAGGCTGGCACTTAGATTTCTGAGGACTTGGCCAGGGTGGTGGAGATGAAGCACACTTTCTTGCTAGGTAGCCTCAGATAAGTTACTTTCCTGAGGGTCTCGGTTTCCTCGGATGTTGAACCTGAGAGATTGGCTTTGTGTCTTGTGACAGGGCTGATTCCCTGTGTGCTCCGCCAGCCACCATGGCTGCCCACGCTTTCCAGCAATGATGGGGCCTCCTGCCTGTTACCTGGAGAGCAGTAATCAGCCCAGAAATCTTGTTGACAAAGCTGAGGCCAGCGTTTCCACTGGAAAAAAAGCAGCTTGCAGGAATTATTGTTGCTGATAAGAAGTGGGGATCCATCTGAGCCAGCCACGTGTCCTTCCCATTGCCTGGGGCTCATAACTCTGAATTTTGCCCAGCGTTAAGACACTGCTTGTACACCCAAAGATGATAGGACTGTCATCCAAGAGATTCTTAAAAAAAAATGGGAATTTGTGGCCCAGTTTCTATGGCATGACCCTCTACCCCTGATGTTATGGGGTACCAGTCTATGACTTTTACAGGTTCTCAGAGATGTGTACTTGCCAAATGGCTGATTAAGAACCACCCCAAAGTGTAAACTCCTTCCTGTCAACTGCCAGGGCCGTCAGTCACAGAATTTATTATTATTCAGTGAGTGACTAAATATGTTTGGTAAGCGTAATAACTGTGCACAGTGCTGTAGTGCCGGGCACAGGGGCAGCAGACAGTCCTGGCTGGAGTACAGGCAGCCACAGCAGGGTTCCACCAGTCCTTTCTTCCCTTGGGAAGGCCCTTGTACAAATCGTGAGCATACCTGGGATCAATCAGGAATTAGATGCACCTCGAGTTCCCTTCCTTCCGCCTCCCCTCCTGCCCCTTTCACACGATAACATTGTAGGTCTTTTTATTTTATGACACTTTGCTGATTGGTGGCAGAAAAATCTCTTTAAATTGCACAATGACCCCATGTGGCAACCTCTCCAAACCCTCCCCCCAAAAGACCCAGAGGGAATGGCTTACTGGGCTCCTCTGAAAGGATCTGGCCCAGCAGGGCAATCGGAAGCCTCTTTGCATAATGAACTTTCCAAGCAGGGATTCATCCAAAGAGAGTGGATTGCCATGAGCAATGGCTCTCTATCAGGAAAACTGATCAGAATATTCTAGACAGGAACGAAGGTGGTTGGGTCAGGTCGTGATAGGTCACCTTTCAATGCTGAGCTGCACGCGGCGGACAGTGAGGCCGGGGGAAATTTAGATGCAATTTACTTGTACAACTCACCTTCTCCCCTCCCTCACTCTCACTCTGCACACTGCCCCCTCCCGCCCCAGCTTCTTCTGGGAGATAACGCTGTTCTGAACAAAGATAGTGGGTATAGAGCGGGAATGGTGTGGACGGAAGGACGTGTGTCACTGTGGCCAGCCCAACTGACACAAGACGACAAGGGAAACGTCAGAAGGGTCATGCAGAGCTCATCCTGGGCACGGGAAGATGGTAAACATTAAAGAAACAGCAAGAAGTGGGCATGTGCACACAAGTCCGCATGCAGGGCTTTTGGCAGTCACATAGGCCTACTTACCCCAGAGGAGCCCGATGTGAGGTTCTCTGTGGGTGTGTGTTAGGAAGAATTCTCTCCCCCGTGGGGGAATACCTTGGTTTCCCATTTTCTTCTAGAAAAGAGCAGGGGTTTTGAGCCAATGTCAATCACTAAAAAGCCAACTTTGGTCACTGTGGTTCCCACACTGGCTGAAGGCACCTCTCCTGAGTACTCATCCAACATTTGTGGGTGTTTGGGGGCCATAGTTCACAGGGCATTACGTTCTTCCTGCTCATCGGAAGAATAGTGTGTCATCTAAGGCATGCATGTTTGGGTTTATCTAAAGGATCAGGGGTTAATTTCAGTGACATCCTCACCAGGGCGGGACTTTCTCAGAACGGGAGAAGACATCCGTGGCCAGTCTCTTCCTGGTTCCAGGCCGTCCATCCACACCCTCTCAGCTCAGTCGCTCTCAGAACCCCAGGAGGCTCTGGGGGTGTGTGCTGTGTCCTGGACTTAGTCTGAGCTCAGGGTCTTTGCTGCTGGAATATGGCACCCGTGGTCTGAACTGGGCAAGTGGGGGTGGAGGGGAGCAATGATTGTGACACCGGTGTCGGACAGGAACTGAGTTATCTCATTTCTTGCTAAGACAAGGTCATGGCTAGGTCAGGATCAGGAGTAGGTTGCTCTGGGGACAGCCCCAGCAGAAGCGGTAGAACATTTTCTGTGCTCAGAACACAATTGCTGGTGGGTGTGTGGAGACATGAAGTAGTTTTTCCACTGCTCCCCATTTTAAGCCCGTGTCTTTGACCCACTTTCCTACCAGCTTGCACTTGGACACAGCGGCTGACTCGAGCAGAATTTCTCCTGAAAGGACCGTCCTGTGGTTGCACGGGTGACAAAGGCCTGTGTGCTGGACAGTTGCCCGGATGAGGGCTTGAGGGCTTTAGCATCAGCATCATCTTTTATGGCCCTGGGTTTTGTTTTTCAGTTTGTTTGCTTGTTGTTGTTTTTCTGCATCACCTTCTGGCTTAGTAGACATGCTTATGGTTGGGGAAATGATTGAGAGATTTCCCACAGGGAGTGTAGTAGGGTGAATGGAGACTCAGCTTTAGCTCCAAACACAATCAGCGTCCCTCGGTTGGTTTTCCCATCTCTAAGCCGGGAATAATGACAAGGCCTGACTAACGAGGGTGTGGCGAGACTTAAATGAGTGAGTACTATGAGGGTCCTGGAGCGCAGCCCAGTACAGAGCAATAGGTGTCTGCTCTGATGACGTCACTGGGGATGGAAGGAGTCTGCAGAAGGCAACCTGGGCACCGGAAGCAGTCTGCCCTCATTTGCCCTCGCTTGGTACCACCCACTGCCTGAGTGGCAAGTCACTCAGGAAGCTCCGAACTTTGATTTTGGCATCTGTAAACTGGGGGTGCTCCCTGACTTGCAGACCACTGTGAAGATTAAATGAAATTAAGTGTGTATCACTTAGCAGGTCTAGGAAATGTTAGATAGTCTCCAAACTTTTCAAGAGCGAAGGGCTACCTGGATGACCTTTGAGTTGAAGACAGGAAAGCAATGGCCCCTCCTTAGCTGCATTCTCATCCCAGCCTAAGAAGCAGGGAGGAAGCCTAGCAAATCCATATATTGCTGGGCAGTGTGGCCAGCAGGCCATGAGCCAGGGGAACAGAGGGAGCACCTACCTGGGGGCAAGTGGCCTGGTTCCCCAGTGCTACAGCTCCCACCACTCACAGCCTGCAGTGAACAAGCCTTGCTCCACACTCCCTCTGTTATTCCTAGGACCTGGTGGTACCCAAGGGTGGCAAAGGGCTCGGGGGCTGGCAACTCTCAGGCCGGGCTCAGGTCTTAGAGGCTCCTTAGTGGTTCCCTTTCCTACCTAGTTAGGCCACAATGGAGCAGAGATCTCTGGAAAGCATCAATAATGGGGGGGGTGACTGGATCCGCTCCCCTTGGGGTTTGCCTGATTGGCTTTTTTCAGGGTTCAGGTTCCAGTACCCTCACATCTACGTATGTCCACATTTGCCTCCTATTGGTATCAGGGAGGACACATGTATGTGTGTGTGTGTGTCTGTCTGTCTGTCTGTCTCTCTGTCTGTCTGTCTCTCTGCCTATCTGTCGTGTGGACAGATGTAGGAGGAGTGAACTTTTGCCAGCCCCACCTTGGTAACCAGTCATACCACTAAGACCCAGAGTCTAGCCCCTGGGCCAGACCTCCTCAGGCTTTGCATGTCTGGAAAAGAGCTAAAAGTGGCAGGAAACATCCGGTTTGAGAGCTGTGTGTTCTGTATTTAACCCCCACAGCACCTTATACCTACTCCCACTCTGCATAGACAGGTCACAGACGCCTGCCTGTGAAGGCACCCGAGAGGCCAGGGCCCCAGACTGAGGTCTGCTCCAGTCCTGAGCCACGTTCTTTGTTGCCCTGTGTTCCACTTCCCAGAGTATCCCCCCAAATCTGGAGGGAGGTCAGTAGAGTATCAGGGCTCTGCAAGAGGAAGAGGAGGCCTTGCAGGAGGAAGCTGTTTGCACCTACCCTGTTCTAGCTGCGACCTTCACTTCTCACTGTTCAGGATGCTTGCCCTCTGCCTTGAGGGACAGCCATTCTGACTGCTGCCCGGTTCCCTCCTCCTCCTCCGCACCAGCAACAACCCTCATGCCCCCAAAGTCACTTTTTTCCTGGTTTTGGCTCAGGACCTAATTCCCCTGGCAAGTCTTGTACGACATATTAGGCTCCCTAAAGGACTGGCTGGGAGATAAAAGACTCTCTAAATAAGATGTCTCTCCTTGTTCACTTCAGAGTTCTGCTGGTTGGACATATCTGCAAGACTTCCCAGGAGAACATCCTTGGACCCTGCTCACCCCTGCTCCTTCAGGTGGGTGTGTCCTCAGCCTGCTCTCTGTGTTTGAGAGGCAAGGAGGGGCCATTGCAAAGCAGGCAGAGGAAGGGCGGAAATGCTGCCCTGCCTTTGCACACGTGAGTCCCATAACAGCAAAATCTGTGACTGCGACTCTGGTGCGTGGGGTAGGGTGGGAGCTAGAGCTGGTCGGTGGGGTACTCCAGCGAGCTTGGTCTTTCCCAGACGTGTGTCCTGCCTTCTCTTTCTTCCTTCTGCCCACCTTGTTCTCTGTCAGTGCCTCCTGGAACTTTTTGCTTTCAAGCCCTTGAGTCCTGAGCCTCCTCTCTCTGTCTGGATCCTGGTGACTTTTTAGTGCCACCTAATAACCCCAAGCAGAGCTGGGTATGCTCTCCTGTAAGGATCCTATTCACTCTGTGTCTCTTGCAGCCAGATCTAGCCTTCCTGTCCAGCCTAGTGCAATGGCTCCCAGCCCTATGCCAGGAGACTCCCTGAGGGGAAGGCAGTTCTCCCCTGCATTATTTCATGCTGTGGCTCCACGGCTCCAACTGACTTGCATCACAGCCTCTGCAGTGAGGTCATGTGATGCTGGGCTCATCTTGCTGGACTGAACTGACTACTATTCTTCCCCATCTCCCATGAGAATTCTCTTTTCCCAGCAGCCCCACAAGACGCTGGGAGCCGGACTGACCCCAGCTCTGTAGCAACCTGATGATGACTCAGAGCAACGGTGTCTCGGAGGGCCTGGGGTGAAGCCAGATGCACCCTAAACAACTTCTCCTAATACCCCGCCAGGATGCTGGGCCCTGGGATCCATGCCCACATCTTGGATGCCGGCTCTGTTCTAGAAACGCAGAGGAGTCACCTTGGACTTAGGATCCATCCCACAGGCGTGTTCAGCCTTTTGACATTGCAACATGACATTGTCAGCTACAAGGTTCATGCTTGAGAGCCACACAATTAAGAAACAAACCAAAAAAAAAAATCAAAACAAAACAAACAAAAATAAAAAAATTAGACACCCACACCCACACCTTGTATTTTAAGTAAGTTTACATTTTTGTGTTAAGCTACATTTATAACTATCTTTGGCCATATGTGGTGCGTGGGCAATAGGTTGGACACATCTGTGTAGAGATAGTGTTGCCAGACATGGGCTCCTTTCCCTTTATTTTTGATTGTTTTGAGATTAAAAAGTATTTCGGGAGCTGTTGGGATGGCTGACAATCAGATACAGTATCTTGAACCCACCTGGAGGAAGACAGGACAATCCCTCAAGTTGTCCCCTGACCTCCACAAGTATGTCATAGCACACGTGCGCCAAACATAACCTCCACACAGAGACACACAAAATAAGTACGTAAATGTAATTTTAAAATCTTGGAAAAGGGGTCAGGAAGTCATGGCACACACCTTTAATCCCAGCACCCGGGAGACAGAAGCATATGGATTTCTATGAGTTTGAGGCCACCTTGCTCTACAGAGTGAGTTCCAGGATAGTCAAAGCTACACAGAAAAATCTTGTCTTGAAAAGAAAGCAAAAACAAAATAGCAAAAACCAGTACAAAAACATCAAAAACAAAATAAAAAACAAAAAACGAACAAAAATCCTTAAAAAAAACTTTCAGATATATATAGAAGTGCACATGAAACATTGTATTTTAATAGAAATGAGATATATACCTGCCACTCAAAGAAACAACAGTGCTCCTACATAATGCTATACATTCCTGTCCCCCAACAGCTTTGTCTCTTCAGAAGTTTTTTTAATCAAATTATGTATTATGTTATATTTATGTGTGTGTGTGTCATAATTCACAAGTCTAAAACTACCTGCAAATGGAAGACCAGTTATGCCACCATTATTATATTAAAGTTCCCTGGAATAGAGCGCCAAAGAGAAGTCATCTGTGTAGTGGACACACCCTTGTCTTTGGGGGCTGACAATGCCATGTCCTTGCTTACCTGCTCCCCATTTTTCCTATGTCATGAAGCTCTTTATAAAATATTTAAAAAGATTAGTTTTTGTGCCATCCATTTGCCAATAGTGGCTATGAGAGTTCATCAAGGCTGGGGCTTCCCTAGGCTTCCTTTGTGAGCAGTTTCACATCCACACTGTTAAGGTTAGCGTTGAAGGGGCTGGTGTGAGGATACAGTCAAATCCAGCTAAAGCTCTGGGTGGTGGTGGTGCACACCTTTAATCCCAGTCCTTGAGAGGCAGAGGCAGAGGCAGAGGCAGAGAAATCTGAGTTCGACTCCAGCCTGGACTACAGAGCAAGTTCCAGGGTAGACAAGGCTACTCAGAGAAACCATCTGGAAACCCACACCCCAAAACTGATTAATGGGCTTTGAGGTTCCATGTGCCCAGACCTAGCTCTCTCACACACTGTACCTGAGTCTGAGGCAAAAGCAGGTGCACACCCCTCATCCCTGTCTCTCTGCTGTTTTCCTCCTGACCCAGGTGACCCACTTGTCTTGGGTCAAAGAGGTCACTCAGACATGCAAAGAATGACGAGATTGAGTCCAAGAACATTTTGGGGAGACCTGAGGTGTTCCGGAGTAAACTCTGGGCCTGACAACAGTTAGAGGCAGCAAGCAAAGCCCATGGCCGAATTTACCTCATGGAAGAGAAAGACCAGTCATTTCTGGAGAAGGGCGTACCAGTGCCAACACACTTTGTCCCCTGTCCCTTTTCCTCAGGTGTGAAAGCCATGGCCAGATGATAATGCCTACTTATGAAAACCATCTCCAAAAGCAAAATCAGCCGATTGCCTATGACTCACATTACTCAGAAGGACATCCAAAATTACACAAAGTGCATCAGGGGCAAAAATAGAAATGGTACCGCTGAAGACACGGCTGCAAGGGCCAGGCTCTAGAGTAGCAAGAGCCTGGGTTGGCACACCATTGTGTCCCCCACTTTCTTCTTGGACAGTGGCACTGACCTGTTCAAGTCGGCTGGGCTAGAGCCTGGGCTGAGGGGGTGTGTGTGCACACATTTGTTCAGATCACCCCCAGAAGTAGACCATTTCTTCTGATGAGGAAGTGGGGGACAGAGAGGCCCACTGCCTCCTGCAAAGGAGCTGGAAGGTGTAGGATTTGAATGTAGTGTGATCCTGAGCCTTGTTCGTGTTGTCTTGGTGAAGACAGTCATGTAGCAAGAGCTCTAAGGAATTTTCTCTATGTTCTGTCTGCAGGAAGGGCCCTCCTAGGCCGGTGGCTATGCTAAGGGTGCCAGCCCTATCTGGCACTGACTCTCACCCTGGCTGTGACCTGCCTGCTGTTCCTACAGGGATGGAAGCCATGGCAGCCAGCACTTCCCTGCCTGACCCAGGTGACTTTGACCGGAATGTGCCTCGCATCTGTGGAGTATGCGGAGACCGAGCCACGGGCTTCCACTTCAATGCTATGACCTGTGAAGGCTGCAAAGGCTTCTTCAGGTGAGCCTCCCCTCCAGAGGGATGGGAAAGAGAGAAGCAAGCCTTTCCCTCAAGAGGACCCCTATGCTTTCTATGGAATGTTGCTGCTCTCCCAATTACTGCAAGCAATAGGGGCTTGGTGACATTTTTTTTTTCTCCCTGCACCCTCTCAGTTCCACCTGTGTCCTCTGACCCTCAGAAACTGCTTTCCTGAGGTGGAATTTTCTTTTCTTCTCACTAGCCCTTGACCTGCTGTACTGAGTCTCATGTCTGCCCTTGAGAGTGAACCTCCTCCTCGCTAAGGATTGCAGCTTCCTCATTTAAAAGTTAGGCCTATGGAAGAAGTGAACCTGTAGGCAGGTCCCCGGTGTGGGACAGTCCTCAATCTCAGAGACTTCCGGCTCACTGACCCTTTACTCAGGAGCCACAAGGCGGTGCCATGGCCTGGAGCAAATTTGATCTCTGGACATTAGGGTTTCTGTTGGTGCTAATTGCCTATTTGGCCTGGCACAGGCTGCCCTCTTGGCTTATTACCAAACTGCTCCCTAATGAACTAGACCAACAATGTCCCCGGCTATAGTCTTGTAGTCCCATTGATCAGTCCCCGTGGCTACATGAAGTCCATGCTGCCGGGGAACGGACCTTCCGGATCTCAAATCCTTTGTACCAAGTGCCACCTGGACTCTTCTGCCAGGGCAGGTGGGGCAGCCATCTTCAGAGAGATAAAGAGAGTCTTGGTGCACAAGGGGACCAGCCCTGTCATAAAGCTACTCAGAAGTACATGGTCTAAAGTATTGACCATGGCATCAATTTACCCTGCAGCCTCACTTCATCCTGAGCATCCCTGAGTTTCAGCTAACCAACTGTTCACCTCGATACTGTGCAGTGTTAATTGGAGATTTAATGAGACGATGTATCAAAAGAGAGATTTGGAAGGTATACAGTACAATGTGACGTATTACTTTTTGGCCACACAGGCCAATGCTGATGCCCTTGGTGTAACTCTGCCCTAGTAGAAGTTTCTGTAGCCATTTCCCAATACCCCTCCTGGTACGTTTTCTTTTACACACCCACTCACCAAATTTGAATGAACATAAAGCCAGGAGATGCTAAAGTTGGTATTCTCACCAAAGATTATATATCACTATCTGTAACCACAATGTTCCATCATCAGCTCTTGAAACTGTTTTGTTCAGCGATGGAGCCCATACCCCAAATCACCTTGCTCTCCTTATCTGTCTTTCCCCCGGGACCCAGCTATGGAAAATGGGCCCTTAGATGGCTACTTGGTTGATCATGAAATAGTGAAGGTCGCTTTCTCACTCAAGGAACCTGAACTCAGATGTGTTTGCGGTCGATGCTCCCAGAGAGACCACTGTGGTTTTCTTTGGCTTATGCTTGATCTGTAAATGAATTCATATTCATACAGTTGAAATGCATTTAACTTTCATTCACAAATGAATTTCGTACACAAAATGTGTACGAGTCCCGTATCTGAAGTTGTTCCCAGCTGCTGCTAAAGTTTACCAGAATTAATCCTCGCCACACCTGAGTTGTCGTCTGTGGATGATGCGGAGCTATGCCAAGCTGAGTCATCCTGATGCACACGCTGAGCAAAAGCTGCCTCGGCTTCCAGCTGTCACTCTAAACAAGCGTCTTTGTGTTTTTGCTGCCCGCTCTGTGGTGCTGAACCTTCGACTTGGAGGGCACGCTAGGCAAGGGCTCTACCGCTACACTGCCCCTCTAGCCACGGTAGACAGCGTTCCTTTAGCAGTCTGCTGACTTACTTCTAGGTTGTCTGTTGTTGTTCTTGTTGAGGGGTTTGGGGGGTGGTGGTTATAGTTACCGGTGGTTTTGTTACTTAAAATGGTTCTTAAGTTTAGTACTGAAGTGTTGTGGGCTGTTCAATTCAAGAAGCCACGGCGTGCCTTCTGGAGAGACTAAATGTGTGCGATAGCGCAGTTTCCTCTCTGAGCAATGAGGCTGTTGTTGGGACAATGCTAATGCATCAACACTATATTTTAAACAAGAAGACTTTAAAGAACAAACGTACATGAGTCAAGGTGATGAGAAATGCTGCAATTCAAGGTTCACAGGAACCCGACCCTGGAATTCCCCCGGGGGACAGTATAGCATTCAGGACTCCAGTGTTCACGGTGACGTCAGAGATAAATCACGTGTCCTGCAGTAACAAGAATTGTCTGCATCTACATCCTTTCTCCTCTCCTTGGTCTCCCGCCACCTTCTTTGCTTTCTTTGACTCACCTAAATTTCCTTTGGGATTTTTCCAGTACAGTTCAGTTCAGATGCTGCTTGAGTACCCCATAGTCACACATCTGTTTACACCCTAAGCAGCGACTAGTACTGTCCCCTTCTCAGACACCGTCTCACTGGGTCTACACAGATGATGTGACCAAGTTGCAGCTCTTCAGAAGCTTCCCCTGCCCCATCATGGCAGTTACAGGGAAGACCTTTGCCCTGGTCTTGGCTCACAGGATGCTCCCAAGCCCTGGAACTGGTTGTCCACTTCAGCCATTAGCGGTTTGGCTTCTAACTGCAGAGATGGTAGTTTTGGTGAGCCCAGGCAGGCCAAGACTCAAGTCCAAGGGTGATTTTGAAGTTTGAAATGGTTTCGTTATCTGTAGTCAGGAGTTAGAGTCCAGTGCTGGCCAGGTCCTCCTATAGCCTGTTCCATGTTCTATGTGCTTCCTGCCCTTCTGAAGCACAGGAACAGCAAAGATGATATTCGGTGTAGATTAAAGCCCTTCAAAGCTAACTTGTGAATGTCCAAAGCCGCTTGACTATGTATTAACAAACAGAGTCCTAGTAAGGACCAGAAGGAGAAAACATATAGATACTTTATAGGACATACATAAAATGGATGACCTATAGGTGGATGTGGATGAATTTTTTATCATGAGTGGCTCTGTCTAAGGTCTGATCTAAAAAGAAAGGTGTAAAAACAGAGAAGAATGATCCAGGGGTCCACTGATGAGGAGATCAAGGTTGATAAGGAAATCTAACAGAGGTCCTGGAAACTAGATTGAGAAACAGTTCATTGTTTATCTCATTTTTGCCTTCTCCTACCAGATTAATACCTGCTAGCTAAAGCCTTGTGGGCTGGAGGCTGTAGCTCAGTGGTAGAGGGCTTGCATGCCTTGTCTGAGGCCCTAGATTGAACCCTGATTCTGTAATCAATTAAATACACCATAAAGCTGAGTGCTGTCTGTTCCAAGACAAAAAAAACCAACATGGAGAACTGTGTTTTCACTTGCTGGCCCCAAGGTCCTCAGTGGCCTTGTTAATTACAGGTCTTCCAGCGTACAGAAGTGAAAAGCAGGCTAGTGAGAGTCCAGGAACAAGAGAAACATTCTGCTTTCAGGAAGTTCACTTGTCTGACGTTTATAGTTCTTCTAAGAATTTGCCGTGAAGGAAGCAGAGAAATGGGGAAATGTCCAAACACCAAGTACTTAAAGGAAGTCAAAGAATAGAAAATATGGGTGGAAAGAACTCATGGGTCTTCTATGGACACAAGGAGATGGCTTACTAGATAGTCAGTGCTGCTGAAGAAAGCTTTGTCCAGGGCAGCTGTCTCTAGCCATGCCGTAGGGTGTGGAAGGAAGAATGTCAGTGTGGTTGTTGATTGATGACCCAAGAGTCATGTGCTAGAGAGAGGAGGCCAGAACATGGAAGGGAAGGGCAGTAGGACTGTCAAGGAAGACAGCTGCAAAGATATAAAAAGATGCTTCCACTTCCTTTTGGTCGTGGTTTGTATGTCTTTAAGAATTGGTGCGGGGGCTGGAGAGATGGCTCAGAGGTTAAGAACATTGCTTGCTCTTCCAAAGGTCCTGAGTTCAATTCCCAGCAACCACATGGTGGCTCACAACAATCTGTAATGGGGTCTGGTGCCCTCTTCTGGCCTGCAGGCATACACACACAGACAGACTATTGTATACATAATAAATAAATAAATATTTTTTAAAAGATTTAAAAAAAAAGAATTGGTGCTCTAATATGAGCTATTTGCATGAATTCGCTCTCAGCAGGATTGTATGACCAGGTATTACTCCATACTTCCAATACATCCAGCTAGGGACCGCCAACCTTTTTCACCCCAGAGGAGACCTTCAGACGGTCTCTGCTTCCATTCCTGGGTGCTGGGAAGGCATGTCTTTGCTGCTTTATTTTGAAATGAAAGGTGATAGATTCATGATGAAGAGCTTTGAGTGTAAGAACTCTAGAAATTTTGGAATCCAATAGATCTTAATTATATTACCCTGTCATACTTATTAACTGCAGGGCAGTAAGCAAGCTATCCGACTTCACTATGCCTTCTGGAACTGCTTGTAGAACAAAGGTATTATGTATTCCTCAAAAGTACTAAGGGTATTGGAGATAACCGTGAAATGCTGGCATGGACGACTCTTGGTGATAAAGCTAATGTTGCTCCCTTGTAATGCCTCCCTTCTGAAGATAGAGAACCGTTTCCTCTCTGTCTTTACTGTGTTGACTTGGATGTGATGTGAATATGTGTTAGCAGGGGTCTCTGGGGGGTAAGGGGGTGGTCTCAGGATAGAAAGAACTAAGCATCAGATGGAAAAGGAATGCTGGGCCAACAGACTCTGGGGGAACCTTCCAAACATCAAAGGCCCTGGAACTGCTCTGTGGTGACTGTCATGTCTGTGGCTTGCAATGTTTTGGCCTCTGCTGTATGCTGAGCCCTACGCTGGGCACTTGAAGAGTGAGGCCTGATGCCCAGGGCATCAGGGTCTCCTGGGAACAGGTGAAATTGACAGCCTCTCCTCTCCTTTGGTGGTTCCTCCCTAGCAGCTTCTCTCCTTCCCTTCATCTGCTTATGTTCTCGTCCCCTTTCTTTAGTTAAGCCTAACAATGACTGCACCTGTTGCTTCCACTTCTGAGATGTGGAAACTGAGGCATGGGAGGTTAACTAACTTGACCGGGGTTGTATGTGTTAATATTTGAACCCTAATAGACCAACCTAGCCAAAGATTGTACTTAATTTTTTGATTTTAGATAGTTGTGTTAGATAAATACTTCTAAAATTATAACGAAGCTGATTTTCTGAAAAACCAGATTGCTGAATGGGGTGGCCCACCCTTGTCACCTCAGCACTCAGGAGATGGAGGCAGGAAGATCAGGAGTTCAAGGCACACCTCAGCTACAAAGCAAGGTTAAGGCTAGCCTAGGCTACATGAGATCCTGGCTCAAAAAAAAATCAACAAGACAAAAACTCAGAGAACTATAACAAAAATAACCCAAAAAGCAAATAGTTCAAAAGAATATATAAACAAGGGGGCTAGGGAGATGGTTCAGTGGTTAAGAGCACTGACTGCTCTTCCAGAGGACCCGGGTTCAATTCCCAGCACCCACATGGCAGCTCACAACTGTCTGTAATTCTAGTTCCAGGAGACCCAACACTCATGGCAAAACACCAATGTACGTAAAATATAAATAAATAAATATCTTTTTTAAAAAAAGAATATATAAACAAAACAAACAAAGTCTCCCGTTCAACCCTCTTTTTCAGGCTCCATTTCTTCCTGGCAGAAATTAATGTCACTAGCTCCATCTACTCACTTGTAAAATATGTGTATGAAAGTAAGTCTGTGTCCATGCGTGTGTGTGTGTTCACATGTTGGTATATGTGCATGCACAAGAGTGCACATGTGAATAGATGACACCATATTGATTCTGTATCTTTATCTGCGAGAGCCCATTCCCCTTTCTGACTGCCCCCTGACTTTCCGGGTCATAGATCGTGTGGCAGTCCTGACGTAATGAACCTACCCTCTGGTTTTCACACTCCTGACCTACCCCCAGGATAGATCCACAGCCCAGGCATTTAAGGGTCCATGTCCTCCAGAAAGCAGCACTGCAGTCTTGACCACTGTTAAGCTTCCTTAGAGTTTTGTAGAGCATCTGCTGAGAACATCCATGTCAGTGACATTAACATGCCACCTTGGCTCCAGTTTACTGGACTCTATTTGACAAGGAGAACTGATCTATATTTAAGGAACACAATGCAATCTCTCTCTCTCTCTCTCTCTCTCTCTCGCTCTCTCTCTCTCTCTCTCACACACACACACACACACACACACACACACATACACACACATGCACGCACACACATACACCATAATCTGGGGTGATAAAAACAATCAGCCTAGATAATGAGTCCCTGATCTCACTTGGATATCACACTGCTCTCACACAGATCTCACACAGACCTCACACTGCTCTCACACGGATCTCTCACGGATCTCACACGGATCTCTCACGGATCTCACACTGATCTTCACGGATCTCACACTGCTCTCACACTGATCTCACACGGACCTCACACTGCTCTCTCACGGATCTCACACGGATCTTCCCTGTCTAGGACTCCATGCAGCCCCTGTGTCCTGCGCAGACACTGAGTTCTCTAAAACACAGTCACAGACAAAACTCAGAAGGCACTTGACACCATGCTATTGACAGAAGCTACCCACGTGCCAGCCTGAGGCCCTAGCCCCTGGCACATGATACTTTTGTGAACTCCTTGTCTTCTCCATGTTTTGATGAATTGGTCTCTGGCACGAGACCTGCTCAATGTCCTCTATAACCCCTGGCTTTCTAGAAACTGCCTCTTTATTTAGCCTAGTTGCACCACCCCTGTTCCCCTTCCTGAACTAGGGTATAATTGCCAGCAAGCCAGAGAATGACAGGGTTCAGACTCAGAAGCAGCAGAGAGAGACACTGGGCTCCCGTGGAATGGGCAGGCTCTTGTTTCTCAAAACAAAACTAACGCCTAGGCAATTAGCTTCGGGAGGAAGGCAGGGGAGGGTGTGGGTCTTCAGGACAAAGCATGTGGCCCGGGCTGGCTGCCCTGACTCCTTGAGGGCAGATGCTAGATGACAGCCACGTGTGGAAGTACCCTTAGAAGGCAGCAGGACAGAGAATAGATTGGCCTCCAAGCCAACAGAGCCTGCAGTCCAGCGAACATCCAGCTCCAGATCTGGGTCTTGTTCTGAGAATGAGCCAGTGACCAGCTAGTGAGTTTTCTGCCGCTCCTAAAGCATAAAGTCCAAATTGTGTCTTCCCGGACACCATTCCTTCCCCCCGGTTCCACATTTAGAGAAACTCAGGTCTAAGAACTGGGTGTCATACTTTAAAATAATAACTATAATTTAAAAGCCTTACACATTTATGGGCCACTTCTTGCATTTTGTAAACGGTGTCGACACTCAGGGATCGAGGTGGTGTGACCTGTTCTTTCAGCTCCTGCCGCTGTGACTCCCTGTTCTGATGAACTGCAAGCTGAAATAAACCCTTTCTCTCTGGCGTGGCTTCCGTGCTGTTGAGTGTTCCCTCTCGGTGACAGGAAAGAAACTAAGACAGTCCCTCAGTCACAGGTCATAGGCAAGACCCTAGAGCCTGAGGGAGTACAGGCAGGCCTCTGAAGGGCTCTAGCTACTCCACCGGGTGTCTGGGAAGCTCTGGCCCCTCCAGAGGCTGGCTGAGGCTTTGCTGTGCCACAGTAAAGGGCACACATAGGAGGCCTTTTTGGTCCCCGAGGTACACATGGAGGATTCACAGCAAGAACTCCTAAGCTAGACAAGACAGTGGGTGGAAAAGGAAGCGTCCCCACTCAGACCTGGGACAAAATACCTAGGTATGAACAAAAAGGAAATGAGAATTTGCTCTGAATTAGAAACATCCGGTCTTCGAGTAGGCTTAGAGAGCCGTGGTCATTTGTGGTAACAGGTGAAGCCTCAAGAACCATGACGGGAAAGAGAGGAAGGAGAAAGAGAGAGACACATGGCTCACAGCCTAGAATAGACCAATGTGGCAATGATGATCTCATCATTCCTGGGTAACCCTGACGGCTCCCAAACTGCTTGTGTATTTTCTGTCCCCTAGGAAAACACTGTCCCTGCAGTAGAGGTATAAAGGCAAAAGTTGAAAGCTCTTTGTCCCCACAGAAGTGGACATCGGCCCACCACCCAGTCTCTTCCTGAGCATTTAGAGGACCTACAGGGTGGCCTAACCTTAGGGCAACACTGCCCCTAACAGCCTGGCACTGCCTACTGTCATTACAACCCTAGGTCTGCTGTTGCCCCCTTGGGTATGAAGTGTCATCAGTGGAGGGTACCAGAGCCAAAATCCAGAGGCGACAGATGGCCCTTCATCCTGGACCCGTCTGGTACTGAGCTATGCTCAAAGGCCAACTGTCCGGATCTATTTAGTTGAGGGCTCAGCTTTGTTGAACACTTTGAGTTCTAGGATTGAAAGCTGTCCAAGGAGCTAGAAGCTGAGCCTTGGATCCCTACAACTCTTAGATCTGAAGCCTCAATTTCTTACCGAACTGTTCTTAACCTCGGTGACCCAACGGTCTGTGACTGTTTGTGGTGGCTGCGGAGCCTCACTCTGGTATCTTTTCCCCATCCTTGGGCCAAGTCAGTCTGGTTGTCTGAAGACTGTCATTGTCTCAATCCCCATGTTCCAGTGAATGTGAACTGCGAGCCTTTGGTTGGTAAACCTAGCTCAGGGCAGGGCTCAGGGTCACCGAGAATGGCCCAAGGGAATAGAAAACCTGGCCTTGTGGCCAGGTCTCCATAGAGACAGCCCCTGAAGGCTGTTCTCAGGCAGGGCGAGGGAGCCAGGCCAGTGACTCAATGCAGAGTTGTGTTCTTTCGGCAGGCGGAGTATGAAGAGGAAGGCACTGTTCACCTGTCCCTTCAACGGAGACTGCCGAATCACCAAGGACAACCGCCGCCACTGCCAGGCCTGCCGGCTCAAACGCTGTGTGGACATTGGCATGATGAAGGAGTGTGAGTGACCGGGGACAGGTGGGAGTGAGGGCTAGGCTGCCGTCACACAATAGCTGCAGTCACTGTCACGCAGGTTCCTCCACCAAGGCCTGCTTCTGCCGGATCCTGGACCAGGGACAAGGGTCTGTGTGAAGCAAAGCTGTTGAGGCTGCAGTTTGGAGTATATCAAGGGGTTGTGCTTAAAGAAGAAACCCATATAATTCAGCAGATGCTGGGGAAGGGCTCATCTGGGCCTCCTGGGCTGGAGCATGGGCACTGGGTCCTCACAGAAGCCCCGCTTCCCTTTGGACAGTGCCGCCAGCATTTACATCCAGAGCCCAAACCCTCGCTCTAGAAAAGAGCCCTTGCCTTGCCAAGCTTAGGGCCTGCTGTCACCCTGGGAAGCCTGGGCTATGGGAATGTGAGGAAAGGGGCAAAGGAGAGGAACCAGGAAGACAAGTCAGGAATGAACACAAGTCCTAGAACAGGAGGACTCGGGAAGCGAGGGTCTTTCATGAGGGACATAAAATGCACTGGTGGTCAAAGTAGAGGAGAGTCACCTTGGCCTCCTTCTAGGGCCTTCACCAAGGCTCCTTGATCCTGATCCCAGCTCCCAGCCAGCACAGGCAGCCCTGGAAGGAGTTTCCAGACTTGGTTGCTGCTCACACCACAGGAATGTGCAGGTCTGGGCATGCCACGGTGCAACCTAGTCGCCGCCCCACCCCGCCTCCTGTGTTTGTACTGGAGAGTGAGACGCAGAGGCCCAAGGCTGGCGAGGTGCTCTCAGACATTCTTAATGGAGCCTGTTCTGTGCCTTGTGCTCAAGTGAGCACACAGGAGTGCCCTGCCTCTGTGGAACAAGATGCCTCTTTATTAAGGTTCCTTAGGGTCCTAAGGTTTCTGCCATCCAAGAACGGCTGTGAGTTCCATTGTTGGGATTCAATAAGACACAGTTGCATACACTTGAAGACCCTCTCAGACCCAAAAAGGACAAAACATCAGGATTGAAATCCAAAAGCAAGCTGGTTGGTGATCTGGGACTACAACTCAGCTCAGATCCCATTCTAGAACCCACAGGAGCCCCACAAGGAGCGCGCCAGCCCTCAATGAGATGCTGAATTAAGATCGCCCCCATACGTGATATCACACGGTGGTGCAATATCCATCCATCCCGGAGATGGTCTCCTCCAAAGCAGCTTTGGGTCTCATCTTGATCCTCTGTGGAGTCTCACAAGCCTTGTCTTGCTCTCGTCCTGGTGCTCCCAGTGGGAAACTGTGCAGAGCTGAGGGATGGGAGGGGGGAGCAGGCAGAGTTCCAGCTAGAATGGAGCCACATTTCAGTGCTCTGGAGGGAAGCTTGTTTCCAAGAGATGCAATTCCTGTCTTGGGTCACCCAGCTTTGCACATCCAGGCTTAAGTCCCTGCCTTAGAACCCTCCAGAGCCGACCCCCTGCAGTGGCCTCGCCTCTCCTCTCAGAGACGATCAAGTATCTCACTACTTTCAGACTACTAGGAAGAGACTAGGAACTACTCAGTCTTCCTTCTAGTCGGAGCAGGGAGCTGGCCTTCATAGGAAAGCAGGGGAGGGAAGGCTCATGGAAAGGTGACAAAGGCAGGGACCAGTGTCTGTTGACAACCTGCGGGTGCCAAATTCTGCACAGAGAATACGTGTTTTTTTCCTAAATTCTCACAACAACCCCTAAGCATGTGAATATTACTTTTTTTTTTTTTAGCAGATAAGAAAAGTCGAAGAGAATGACCCTGTTATGCCTCTGACCTAGCATGCTATCTGCGTCTATTCTGCCCTAGGTCCGGCCTACGGGCTCCAGCTAGGGAAACCCCACAGGCACTCCCAGTGAGTCAGCGCTTAGTCCATCCCCACACTCTGCCTGGAGCCCTAAGGAATAAATAGACTGAAGAGAGCTTTGTCCCTCCAAAGAGTCCTTTCCTCTGTCCTCAAGTCCTAGGCGGTTCATATTTGAAGTTTGTTTCTTCTTGTTGTTGTTCTTGATGTAGGACCTTGCTATGAAAGCACAGGCTGGCCTCAACCCTCTACTTCAAGGTCTTGACTGTGGAGTTGAGTTCTTACATTGCGCTACATCTGTCCTGCACAGAACCAACCCCCTTGTGATAACTTCAATGTTTTCATAGAGATGAATCTTTCCTCCCCAGTTTCCTTGCGATTGCACAGCACCTGGGTCATAGGAGGTGCCCAGTAAATGTGTTAAGTGAATGAATATCAGCTCTCCACATGCTTCTTCTAGATCCTCATCAGTCTATAGAGATCAGTAAGCTTAGCCTAAATCTGATATTGTCTGAGTCATTCATTTGAGGGGAAGAGTTACATCCTCTCCCTTGATGTTCTGAGGTCACTAGTGACATCTTCACGTCTTAAAACTGTTCATGTTTGCAGATCTTGGCTTTCCAACTCAGGTCTAGGCTTTGTTGGACAGGAGACATATTTTACATGCAAATCACTTACGCCAAACTGCTTCGTCTTTCCCTCAAGGGATTTGCAAGGAAGTGGAGAAAGCGACTTGGGGTTGGACAGGTTACCAAAGCCAACTACTGACGTTCAATCTCGTCCATTGCAGAGTTCCCCAGAACCCAGTTACCAGGCTGCTGGCTGTATCTCATAAGCGTGTCCCCTGACCTTATAGCGTAGAAGTAGCGTCTAAATATCAATTCACCAAGAAAATTATTTTTAAAATTCCTAAGAGGTTAATAAGTCCTCTGAGCTAATTATTTCACAAATCACAACAGTGTATGTAGATATGTGAATGAGGTATGGTTGTCCCTAGTTAGTGTTGCTTCCTGGAAGCTCTGGACAGCGACCAGCGAGTCTCAAATTTCACCAGTCCTTCTGAGCTGTGACTGCTATTCAACACAAGCAGTTGGGAAGAGAGGTGGTAAAGGTTGACGCTGAACTTTAAATTATTTGTTTATCTATTCAGGCTGGGGCGTGTGTCATCGCTCACCTGCGGAGGTCAGAGGACAGTTTGTGGGAAAGTTCTCTCCTCCCACAAGGCGGCCCCAAGATTGAGCTCAAGTCGTGAGCTTGGCAAGCCAGCACTCTACCCACTGCGGCTTTCCCTACTGAACTACGTTGCTTGTCTCTGAAGTTAATTTTGAATCTTCTTTGTTTTTTTCAAGTAAATCACCAATGAACTTTGTTTGTTTAGTTGTTCCCACTCGTTAGCTTTACTTGGGACAGTTTATGTCCGGACTCCATGTCTAAGAGACAGCATCCTACTGATCAGTTACAGCTCAATACAATCAGAGACAGATGGACTTGTGGGCATGACCATTCATCCCAGAACCAGACTGCTCAAGTCTGAATGCTGGCTCTACTGTTGTTAGCTGTCTTACCATGAGCAAGCTACACAACCTCTCTGGGCCTCAGTTTCTTCTTCTACAAAATGGGAATAATGATGATATTTACATTAAAGGGTTGTTTTAGTGAGCCAGTATGCAAAAGGTCCTCTTTATTTTTCGTTTTTTGAGACAGGTTTCTCTGTGTAACAGCTCTGACTGCCCTAGAACCTGCTTTGTTGACCAGGCTGGCCTCAAACACACAGAGATTCTCCTGCCTCTGCTTCCCAAGTGCTGGAATTAAAGGCATGCGTGTGCCACCACTGCCAGGCCCAAAAGATACTTATAATAATGCTCCATACATTTAAAAACCAATTAAGTCATCCATTAATCTTATCTTCTTATGATGCCAAACTTGATCACCAGAAATTCTAGGTCCCAAAAGTTCAAAAGTAATCTTAAGGCTGGATGTGGTGGTACTTACCCAGCACTTGGGAGGCAGAAGAAGGTGGATCTCTGAGTTTGAGACCAGCCTGGTCTACATAACAAGTACTGGAACATCCAGAGATACATAGTGAGACCCTGTCAAAAAAAGAAAGAAAGAAAGAGAGAGAGAAAGAGAGAAAAAGAGAAAGAGAGAGAGAGAGAGAGAAAGAAAAAAGCCAAGCAAACGACAGGTAGGGCTGGAGCCATGGCTCAGGGGTAAGAACACTGTGCGCTCTTCCAGAAGATCTGGGTTTGAATCCCGGCACCAGAAACGTGTGTAACTCCAGTCCCAGGGGATCTGATGCCCTCTTCTGGCCTTGGCGTGCACCAGACATTCATATGGTACACAATGCAGGCGAAAATACTCCTAAAATAAAATAAAATGAAATAAAATAAAATAAATTTAAAAGAGCAAGAAAGCCATACCTCTAGAGACAAGCACCAACAACACACACATAACATAACTTGGCAGAGGTGTCAACCGAAGCTGTGCCATCTCACACAAGGACCCCAAAGTGTACAGTTCTGGAGTTCTCCCTGAGCTTGCAGAGTCTGAAGGCATGGTCTGAGAAAACCCTGTGTTGTTCGGGTGGTCCCGTACAGATTGGTCTGTCTTAGAAGCATTTCAATCACAATTATTTAAATCAAAGAGGTCGGCTTCGGTGGGTTACTCACCTGTGTGCTTTGAGAGCCATTCCTGACACTAGAATGCAGACGGCCCGGTGCAGGCCTCTCGGTGCCCATGAAGATGGCTTACATAGTAGACACACTCTGTGCTGATGTTCTTGATAGCTGGTGTCATCACACTCCGTGGCAGGAATCCCCCGACTGACCTCTGTGAGGGAACACAAGAATTGTAAGCCATAGCCCCTGTCCTTGGGGCTAGGAAAGGAGGCCTTGAACCTCTCAAGTTTCTCGGGCAACGGTTATTAAAACCTGTGTCAGCAATGGGTCTCAAAGAGTGGGATACTCAGGTGCCAATGCGTGTGGAAAACACGAATTACGCAGGAAGGATGAGAACAAGAGCTCAGAGCAGATCAGGGCAATCAAGACAGGCTTCGTGGAAAAGAGACCGAGAGCTAGCCACTGAGGGAAGATGAGACTGTGTGTAGGTGTTAGGTAGAGAAGATGCAGGGACGGACATCCGGCACAAGTGTAAGCAGGTTGTGTTTACGGCTCGGCGATGCTGACGTGCCTAGAACAGGAACCGTGTCCTAGGGTGCTGAGGAATGAGGCTGTAAAGAGTTAAGGCAGATTATGAAAGGCCTTTCCTTTGGTTTGGTCCTGGCAAGCAGGAAAGATGCAGAAGCTCCTAAGCAGGAGAATAACACCACGGAATCCTGGGAGGGCTACCAAAATCTGCCAGGCTGATCAACATGCCTGTGGACGCCCACAGTGGGGCAGGAAGAGCCCTGCCTCCTGAGCTCCCATCTCTCACTCTGCCCACCCTTCACATGGGACAGGAGAGACGGGACACCTGGCCATGGTTCCACAGGCCTTTCCTTGGCCCTTTCTTTCCTTGGGATGCTCCTAGCTCCTTTGCCCCCCCACCCCGCCTGATCTCCTAGGGGCTCAGCAGAAAGACAACCTCTGTGAGAGGAGGGCTGGCAGCTCTTTGGGCAGATGAGTCAGCCACCTGGGCGTGGCTTCCTTCCAGCACTGTTCTTTGGGCTGTACACCTTGGTTGTGGGAAGAAGGCACCATCTTTCTCTAAGATTTCCCCTTCCTGCTATGCCTGTGGCTCTGATTCTCCATTCCTGCCTCCCATAGGTACTTTCTCAACCCCACTGACCTCTCTCATCCCTACCCTTCACGACAGGCTCAGGTCAATGGACTTCTCTTGAAGCCCAGAACCCATTTACTCTCTGGTTCTGGTTCCTTCCCCAGCTCTTGTGAAACTTCTGTGGGCAGATGCCCTGGCAGCCCTGGCAGCTTGAGCACAGAGCAAGTAGGTACAGGCTGAGGCCCTAGTGCCCACTCCTACCACCAGGCTCCGCAAGCCCCGGCCAGGCAGTCTGTTTGCCTGGCTGTTGTGCCAGGGATCCCTGCTCCCAACCTGTCCTTGCAGGCAGCTGCCCCAACACAGGGTGGCAGGGGGTCACTGCCGACGCCCCGTACCAGCCTGCAGGTGACAAAGTATCTCCCATGACCAGTCATCTCCTGCCAACTGGAAGGAGCGCCCCAGGCCCCAGCTATCCGGCTCCAGTCTTCAGAGATTTCCAAGAGGTCTCAAAACATTCCTTGAGCAGAAGTCCCAAGCGTTTCCAGATTCAAAGACCGAGATGTTGTTATGCAGAGGGGCCAAAGAACAGAGACTCACATGTTGTTTAGAGTGGAGCGGGCGGCTGAGTTCCACGTCAGGAAATGAGAATGTGGAAATGGCCTCTTCAAGGGGTTCTTCTCGGCATTCCCTAGCTTCCGCACAGAAGGAAAGGAAAGGCCCACACAGCCGTGGAACCTGAGGCATGAGCAAGGACTAGCATCTAACTGTGCCAGTCACATCCAGTTCTCAAAACAGGTAGCTTGGAGGGGGTGGTGCTCTTGAGACCATACGCTTCAAACTGCGCTTTTTTTTTTCTTTATTATTTATTGTGTGTACAGTGTTCTGCCTGCATGTCTGCCTGCAGGCCAGAGGAGGGCATCAGATCTCATTACAGATGGTCTGTGAGCCACCATGTGGTTGCTGGGAATTGAACTCAGGACCTTTGGAAGAACAGCCAGTGCTCTTAACCTCTGAGCCCCTCTCTCCAGCCCAAAACTGCTTGTTTTTTATGAAGCCAGAGAGTCTGCCGTTTTCCCAAGGTCCCTGAGAATATGGACTTCCCATTGCCAGACAAACCTCCACTCCTCCCACGTGCAACTGCCTTTTCACCGTAGAAAATCCAGCTTCCTCCACGTCATGGCATTGGAGCTAACATGATGGCTGGGTCCCAGGGACTAGCCCCTCCCGTGCCAGCCCTTCAGCTGTGGAGGAAGGGTTCCGGGAGGAATTTTGGGCCATCCCTTGGGTTCCCTTTCTCGCCCCACAGTCATCCTAACAGACGAGGAGGTGCAGCGTAAGCGGGAGATGATCATGAAGAGAAAAGAGGAAGAAGCCTTGAAGGACAGTCTGAGGCCGAAGTTATCGGAGGAGCAGCAAGGCATCATAGCCATCCTGCTGGATGCCCACCACAAGACCTATGACCCCACCTATGCTTACTTCAGGGATTTCCGGGTACGTCCGCTGGTCCGGGGCTTGAGCCAGGGTAGTGGAGACTCAGATACAGCCTAGGCGTGGGGAGCAGGAATGGGGGTCAGGGATCTGGGAAAGGATGGAGACCGTGCTGCGCCCTGTGAGCCCTTCCCCTGGCAGCTGTTGCTCTCAGAGGCAGGAGAGTGACCCCCCAAAATAGGGACCTCTGAGAATTCATCTTTGCCTTCCAGCCTCCAGTTCGTGCGGATAGGAGTGAGGAGAGCTATCCTGAAAGGCCCACACTCAGCTTCTCCAGGGTGTCCTCCTCCTCCAGCTCCGATCTGTACACCACCTCACTAGGTAAGAAGCCCTTCCACCAAGCATACTGGGGGAAAGCATCCACCTCGTGGCCCTGAGGGGGAAGGGACAGAAATCTTCCATTTGCATACTGTGCGTGGGACACAGCCCTTCTTTCACAGAAAAGGGGCTGTCTTGTGCAAGATGCATGCTGGGAAGAGCCAAGCTGGGGTTCTGGCTGTACAAATCTGTACAAGCTCAGCCTCTGAGCCAAGCTCTGTCCTTGACCTGGAGGTCACTACCCGATCTTTCAGTCTTGGACTCTTTGAAAGGTGGAATTGATGTGGGAAGATGATCTACGATGTGGGAAGGGCTCTAACCTGAGCACTGGGGGAAGCAAGCACTGTGACCTGGAACACCCGTCGCCTTCACCTCCTCAGAGTCTGGGAGGCTGTACTTCTCTCTTTGGGCTCTCATATACATTCCTGTACCATCCGTCCCTACCTCACGGTGCCCTGTCCTCTCTGCCTCTATCTCTCACCCAGTTCTGGTGTCCCACCTTCTGGAAGAAGGTGGGGATGGAACCCCCACAACCACGTGTACACACCTCCTGGGTGCACGGACGGAGATGGGGTGCTAGTGCCGAGTGCTCTGAGATAACAGCACAGGACAGTGCCTACCCACCAGAAGTGAAAGGAGCGAGGTGGTCAGACTTAAGAGAAAAGCACTGGGCATGACTTGTGACTGGCGCTCCCTCCCCTCCCCCTCATTGGGATTCTCCACCCCCACCCCAAGTACCCATTCTGCATTCCATCTGACAACATAGTCATTGTCCCAGTTAGGGACAAGTAGTACTTCAGCTTTTAATAATCACTTATGTCCTTTAGGTAGTTTTATTATTTTTTTAAATTTTACTTTGAGGGGCTGGAGAGATGGCTCAGAGGTTAAGAGCATTGCTTGCTCTGTCAAAGGTCCTGAGTTCAATTCCCAGCAACCACATGGTGGCTCACAACCATCTGTAATGGGGTCTGGTGCCCTCTTCTGGCCTGCAGGCATACACACAGACAGAATACTGTATACATAATAAATAAATAAATATTTTTTTTAAAAAAATTTACTTTGAGGCAGAGTCTTACTATGTAACATTGGCTGTCTTGGAGCTTACTATGTAGACCAGGCTGGCCTGGAACTCAGAGAAAAATCACCTGCCTCTGCCTCCTGGGTGCTGGTGATTTTAAACTTTTCATAACTTCATTGCTTCAAGGTCCTTACACCCACCATTGGTATGTTCAGTATAGTATGTTTACAGATTCAGACAGGTAAAATGAGGCCATTTAGAGAAGTTACTATACAAAAGTCACACACATTCAGCATTGATACTTAGAAAATAGAGATGAATACATTTGGTCGCATAGCATGATCTTCGCCCCTGCTGCTCGAAGGAAGTGACTGCTCACCTGGACATGCCTTTCTAATTCCCTTCAGAAGTGGAACTTTGTGGTGTAGCCTAATGCTTTGCTTCTCTTCTCTTAGCCGTATATCATGGAGGCTGGAAAGGAGGCTCTGGTCAGAACACCAGTTGCTCTTGCAGAGAACCCAAGTGTGGTTTCCAGCACCCACATGGTGCTCACAACTGCCCACAACTCCACTTTCAGGGGCTCCAGTGTCTTCCGGCCTCCACAGGCGCCAGGCATGCATGTGGACACATATGTACACACAGGCAAAACAGTCATACAAGTTAAATAGAATGAGTACATCTAAAATTTCTCTATATTATGCTGTATTAAGTTTCTACATCATTCAGTATGTATCAGATGGTGGCTTGAGTACCACAGAGTGACTCAGTAGACAAAGCACTTGCTATGCCCCACAACCTGAGTTTAACCCCTGGAACTCATGTAAAAATGGAAGGAAGGGGGCTGGAGAGATGGCTCAGATGTTAAGAACATTGCCTGCTCTTCCAAAGGTCCTGAGTTCAATTCCCAGCAACCACATGGTGGCTAACAACCATCTGTAATGGGTTCTGGTGCCCTCTTCTGGCCTGCAGGCATACACACAGACAGAATATTATATACATAATAAATAAATAAATATTTTTTAAAAAATATTTTAAACAAATGGAAGGAAGCAACTCTACAAAATTGTTCTCTATCCTCTGCGTGCAGCCACAGTGTGCACACGCATGTACACATACATACACACACACACATACACACACACCACCACCACCACCACCACCCACGAATAATAAAGTTTTAAAAACTTAAGACTAAAGTTTTTAAAGACGAAATAGTGTCCTGAAATATAATTACATATAACATATCAAAACCTCCGACCGTTGGATCTCTATATTGGTTCCTTGTTTTTTAGTTTTTCTCCTGGGTAAAAATATTTATACTTATTCTAATTTTTTACTTATAATGGATGTATGCAAGTTGCATCACTACATACGTAATGATAAGCGATCTCTCTCTCTCTCTCTGCGTCTCTCTGGGGGGCAGGGGAGACACCCTCAATCACTCTACTCAGGTGCTATAAGTAGAGGCAGGTGGTGATTTCCAGGCCAGCCAGAGCTACATAGCGAGACCTTGTCTCACTCCTCTTGTCTCCACCTCTTGAGAGCTGGTATTACAGGTGCACATGACCACACTCGGCAACTGAAGGCTTTTCGTTCCTAGTTTCAGAAAGCTTTAGATTCCCTGCACAACCTCACCGGTCCTGCAGAACCCATCGCTGTGTAAGAGCGTCCTCAATGCTTCAGACTTTACAATTACCAGCATCGACTTTATGTTTGTCTCCAGTGTATAGTTGGAAAATGTAAATATTCTCGGCCTTGTAATTCATTGATCATAACAGACACGAGCTTTTTGCCCCATGGGTTGAGGAAGTGAGATTTTGCCCTATGGTTTTAACTGAGTTCTTAGAAAGACTTCTTGCTTTGCAAAATCACAGCTAAGAAGGACTCCCCCAACCCCGCCCCATAGTGTCTCTGGCTTCTTGGATTTAAAGTCTCAAAAACCTGAAATAAGAGATGGGGAGAGACCCAGAGAGAGTCTAGGGAGGGAGAGCAACCCTGGGAAAGGCAGTCACTATGGGGTCACGCAATGAGGTCCTCACAGAAAGGCCTGCCGGGGTGTCCTTAAGTAGCTCCCTCTTTTTCACCATCTTCCCCAGACATGATGGAACCATCCAACTTTTCCAACCTGGATCTGAGTGAAGAGGACTCTGACGACCCCGCCGTGAGCCTGGATCTCTCGCAGCTCTCCATGCTGCCACACCTGGCGGATCTGGTCAGCTACAGCATCCAAAAGGTCATCGGCTTTGCCAAGATGATCCCAGGATTCAAGTAAGAAGCTCTTGCAATGTGTGGGAAACTGTCAGAATTCTGTGTGGAACTAGATGATACTCAGCAATCTTCTAAACCTCCCCCATCACAGAGCCTGCCCTCCCTCCCCTGCAGGACCAGACCTCATTATAGATGGTTGTGAGCCACCATGTGGCTGCTGGGAATTGAACTCAGAATCTTTGGAAGAGCAGGCAATGCTCTTAACCACTGAGCCATCTCTCCAGCTCCGGCGGGACTGTCCTTTAGCCCATGTAGCTGCCCAGCATTGCGTGGAGAGACAGTTCTGAGAGCAACTCCACTGCTCACTTTCTGGATGATGAAATGACATCCCACCCAGGTTTCGTGACCAGCTAGGATCCTCTCGGGGCGTCAGAAGTAGGTCAAGGGGCTCTAGTTCTGTACCATTGGCTCCCACTAGAGCCCTGCTGGCTCGAAACTAGTCCTCACATGAACCCTTTAGATTCAGCCTAGAAGGTTCCTGCATATCCAGTTCCCAGGCCAGGATGAAGGGACTGCGAGGAGGACATCAGGACTTCCGGACTTGTGAAATAATCCAGGAATCCTAGAAAACTGGAGACAGGTTCACTGGCATACGTGACCAAATAGGTGGAGACAGAGAGTTCTACTAGAGTGAGCGTCCTGCCTTACAGACTCCTTCATACAGATTTTGCTCACTCATGTCAAATTTGTTTTAATAATTACATGTGGAGTTGTAGCTCAGGGGTTAAGAGCACTTGTACAAGTGTGAAGAGCAGAGTTCAGATCCTTAGTACTCACATAAGAAATCCAGGCCAGGACTGGAGAGCTGGCTCAGCAGTTAAAAGCACTGGCTGCTCTTCCATAGGACCCAAGTCTATTCCCAGTATCAACATGGTAGCCCACAGTTGTCTGTAACTCCAGTTTCAGGGCATCTAACACCCTCTTCTGGCCTCCACAAGTACTGCATCCATATGCTATGCAGACATACACAGGCAAAACACCCATACATATAAAATAAAAGTGAAGATTAAAAAAAAATCCAGGCTAGCATAACTAGTAGTCCTGTAACCCCAGCATTTAGAGGGAGAGGGGATCCCCAGAGCAAGTTGGCTATCTAGACTAATCACATTCGCCAGCTCTAGGACTCAGGGAGACCTTGCCTCAAAATATAAAGTAATGAGAGATCAAGCAGGTTGCCCATTGCCAACCTCTGACCTCCACACACACGCTGGCACATACATCTGTACACATTTGAACATGCACACACATACACACATGTGTATGTGTGTGCGTGTGTATATATAGGCATGTATAATACTTATATCTGAATATCCATGCAGTGTTAAATATTTCTTTTTTGTTTTGTTTTGTTTTTTGAGGCAGGGTTTATCTGTGTAATAGCCCTAACTGTCCTGGAATTAGCTTTGTAGACCAGGCTGGCCTCGAACTCACAGTGATCTGCCTGCATCTGTCTTCCTCCCAAGTACTGGGATTAAAAGCGTGTGTCACTACACCTTAAATATTCTCAATACAATATTGTCACTTTATATATTTATATATATATGTATATATATATGGTTAGATCTGTATTTATGAATATTCAATCTCTTCATTGTTTCCAAAAGTTCACTGGGTACATTCCATAAAACCTGTATATAACATGGTCAAGAAATAGAAAGAAGTCAGTCAGCACAAAGCAATGTTGTCATCCCTTCTCATGCTAGCAATAACTGAGGCCAGACTGCTTCCAGGTGCTGAACTAGGGTCCGGTGCTGAGTCCTGGGAGCTGAAGTGACTTTAACATTGGCCACCTTTGGATAAAAGCTAACATGAGGTGTTTTTCGTGGATTTGTCAACTTTTCTCTGTGAAGGAAAGCAATTAGTTATTGTCGAAATTTCACACGATCCTTGGTGTCCACGGGGCTAACACAGCACCTCCAGGTTGGTTTCTGCCAGGAGACAGCTGCCTGTGTATTGCCCGATAGCCTCACCAGCTCTGACAGAGTCAGTGTGGCTAACATGTAGAAGAGCAACATGACAGGCGGTGTTGAGACCCCCTCTCCACCCCCACCGCGCTGCACCTTCAGCTGTGGCTGAGAAGGCCAGGGACGGACTCTTCTATCAGCCAGGTGGGCACACTGATCTCCTGTATGGAATGAGGCCTGCTTCACCCTCAGAGTTTGGCCGTGGAACTGGCAACACATTTTGTTTAGTACAAGTTCCAACTCCTTCTACCGTGCTACAGGCTGCTGTTTGGTAGCTCCACGCCTTCCAAAGTCTTGTTTTGTGTAAACAACTAGAAACAAGACAAAACAAAACACCCCAAGGAACTGAAGTCCTGGCAGCAGCTGGCTTCCACCTGAATCTGAGAAGCAATCTCGTTTTTTTCCTCACTCTAGTAGGGGCAGGGTTGAACAGGTGGCCCCTGAGCCCCCTCTATGTGCTGAAGTTTGGTGTTTAGAGGAGGCAGAGGCAACTTTCATTGAATACATAAAAAGCCATCATGCACCCAGACCACCTAACACCCCCACCTTGAGTACCTCAGCTTCTGTCCCCCGCCCCCATATCTTATTGTTTATTTTTTAGCTCTTATTATTACTCTGTCCTCCACTTCTTTCTCCAAGGCTGAGACGATCTACTCCTTCCTTTCCTTTCGGGCTCCATTTCTCCACAGGGTTCACTAGCCTAGCTCTGTTGTCACGGCTAAAGAGAGATGCGCATGAGCAGACATGAGAACCACTCCGGTATTGCTGCAAAATGGGTTACGTTGATGATGAACACCCTCAGGTTGGCGTTTCTTTCTTCAGCATGGCCTGAGATAGATCATTCTCTGTAGCTTTAGAGCCTGTCCTGTAACTAGCTCTTGTAGACCAGGCTGGCCTTGAACTCACAAAGATCTGCCTACCTCTGCCTCCCGAGTGTTGGGATTAAAGGCGTGCACCACCACTGCCTGGCAGCAGATTGTTTTATAAGAAAAATGGGCCAGGCCTTTGCCAGAGCTCTGGAAGTATGCTAATATGGATACCCTGACTAGACAGAAGGGGTGCCACACCTGGATGGGAGCCAGCCCAGTAGCTCTCTGGGTCTGTGATTTCCACACTAAGGGGCTGTGTTCCCCTGAGAACAGTACTTATGTCCCTGGCAGCTTTGATCTTGCTGCCCGAAGGCGAGGGAGACAGGTGGGGAAGGCAGGAGGAGATGTCTGTGTGGGTGAGGGGACCAGGGTTGGGATGAGACACCAGCATGGGCACGGAACCAGCCCAGGGCAGCAGTTCCTGGGCTCCTCTGGGCGTGCGCAGCACAGCAGTGCTCCCTTGGCTCTGCTCCCTCCTCCCACCTCCTCTCCCTCCTCTGCTGCAGCTCACCCACAAACCTCTCTCTTTGCACTGCAGAAGTGCATGGAGGAGGTCGGGTCAGGAGCAGCTTCTAAATGGTCGGGAGCAGTTGTGGCTACCAGGGCTGAGCGCACGCAGGCTGCCGTACCCAGGGAGGTAGGCTACAAGGCCACAGCCGCTCAAGCCCAGCTTCAGGAGCTAACTGCCTGCAGCCTTGCTGTCCTTCCATTTCCAGGGCCTCCAGTCACAGGCCCTAGAGGCTCCCCTCACCCTCTCCCGCACAACTAGGCATCTTTCCACCGGGCAGCTTTCTTGCCTAAACTGTGAGGGATGGAAGTTGATTAGGACACCATCTCTGGCCTCCGGGGACTGGGTGTCTGATAGAAGAGATAAGCATGTAAACAATAGCTGCCCAGAGATAAGAACGCTGCTGGAAACCTGCTGGAGACACCGTGGGAAGACAGGCAGGGAGGGGCTCCCCAGGCAGCAGCTTAGTTCCAAGGCACACCTCGGGTGCCTAGACGTGATCCCAGGTGTGAATAGTGACTGACTAGGCTGGGAGAGACGACACTTGGCCAGGCCCTGGGCTGGTACTCGCTTTAGCAGAACAAGCCCCCTTCCCAGTTTCCTGGGAACCATCTTAGAAGGCTCCGCATTTCTCCGCTGTGGGTAGAGTGCGTGCGGGGCCATTGTAGCTTTCCTCACGGCAGCTGGACATCTGGACCACAGTAAACACCGATCCTCAAAGCAGCAGGCATGATTGCTCACCTCCAGACACCTGTTCTGAGTAGAGCACAGCCCTCCCTCACAGCCACAGGGAGTACCCGGAGTGAGAAGTGACCAGACGCCTTGTCCATTGCCGTGGTGCAGCATTACACAGCCCACTGAGAACCAAGCTGGGTTTTCTTTTCTTCTTCTTTTTTTTTTTTAAGAATTTTTATTTTCTTTATACTTTTTCTGTACTTTCCAAAGATTTAATAGTGAGCTAAAACTCAGATAGAGGCGGTGCTGGCATTTGTTTGTTTTTGACACCGGGTCTCACTTTGAAGCTCAGGGAGGTCAGGAACTTACTATGGAGCCCAGGCTGGACTCAAACTCACAATAATCTCCCCAGCTACAGTCTGCTAAATGTTATCATAGACATAAATCACTACACCTGGTTAGTTTTTGCTTTTTTGACATGCATTGAGTATTTATACTTAGAAGATACCATGTTGTTAACCTATTTGTTGGAGATTAAAAGGACAAAAGAAGGATACAGTGGTTCCCTTTAAAAAGCAAAATGCCAGGACTGGTGAGGTGCCTCAGCAGCTGAAAGTGCTTGCCAGCCTCAGCCTGATGCCCTGAGTTCAAATTTCCCTGAATCCATGGTGGAGGAAGAGGAGAGAAAACTGATTCTCCAGAATTGTTCACTGACCTCCACAAGTATGTCATAGCACACATGCACCCCCCCACAACAATAATAATAATATGACATAATAATAAATAATAGTAATAATAAAATTTTAAAATAAAAGCATTCAATTAGCTCTGGTTAAGGGTCCTCACAGCTAATAGAGCAGTCTGCTGGTTCTGGGTGCCGTTAGGACATGCACAAGTATATGGCCCTATTGGTTATAGCTCAGTAGAAGAAGAGGCAATTGATATAGGAGCTGGACCCTCACAGCTGGATCCAGAGGCTGTGAGCGTGGCTCTTGGAGAAACCTGCAGCCGCCACGTCACCACCATTATCAAGCGTGCTGGAGCCGAGCTGGCCACGCAGTCTCCAGTGGGAACCTCCCACCTGGAGTGCCTCTGGAGTTCTCAGTCCTGATCCTTGGCCTGCCGCCTAACTGTGGAACCCTTCCATTTCCCATCATCTATCGTCCGTCCGTTTCCTGCACTTACACACTAGAGTGCTGCAGAAAATGTCTTAGCCTGTATACAGAAGACTCCTATAGAGGCGTCTAGACAGTCAGGAAAAGAAAGCAGGGAAAGCCAGAAGTGAGTCGGCCTATCCACTGTCTTTCTCTGTCGCTGCTCAGACAAGCCCAGTTCTTGACTCAGAAGCCTGCAATGGTTGGCCTCTTGTCACATCAACGTGTTTATTGATCCTCTTGTACCCAGGGTTCAGTGATGATTCTGTGGGAAACAATAGCGCAATTAAGAGATGGTGTTGGCTCTCAAGTAACTATAAACAAAGCTTAGAGCTGGGAGGGGTAATTCCAGCTCTCAGGAGGCAGAGAGAATGCCAGCCTGGGCTATGGAGAACCCCGGAGTCCAGAACACAAAACTAGCAGAGGCAGAGGCAAGCACAGGAAGGGAGGAGGGAAAGCGAGCACCATCAGTATGTACTGGTGACTGAGAAAGAACCGACTCTGCTGATCCGGCCAGACTCCACGAGAGATCACACTTGGTTTTGAGACCAGAAAGGTGTGATGGAACCTTAAAGGAAGGTGTTTCTGAACCTGGCGGGATGATGCAAAAGGCAGAGGCTCTTGCTCTCAAGTTCCATCCCTGGGACCCACTTGGTAGAAGGAGAGTAGACATTCTCTGAAGTTACTCTTTTTGACCTCCACCCCTGCACTGTGGCTCATGTACACAAGATAAATTAATGCAGTTTAAAAAATTGAAAGGAAGAGTTGCTCCTAGCTGAAACTGTGCATCCTCAAAGGCATGCTGTGTAGGAGAGCATAGCAATTGAATGCAGAGTAGTGTCGTGTTGCAAGAACGGAGGGATGGTGGCATTTGTAATGGGAAAGAGGCCTGGAAAGCAGAGCCAAACTGTGGAGTCTGGACTTGATCCTAGGGAGCATCTCGTGCACAAGAAAGACTGCCCTGTAGCAGCAATAGGAAAGATGAATGAGAGACGTGAGACTCTGGGTTTCTAGTAGGAGGCCCTTGCACAAACCATGGAGAGAGCCATTGTCTTAGTGTTCTATTGCTGTGAAGAGACTCAATGACCAACGTAACACTTGCATTTTAACTGGGGCCTTGCTTATAGTTTTGGAGGGTTAGTCCATGATCACCATGGCAGGAAGCAGAAAGGCATGGCGCTGCAGTAGTAGAGAGCTTTGCATGCTGATCCACAGGCAGCAGGCAGAGAGAGGACCACTGAGCCTGGTTTGGGCTCTATAAACATCAAAGCCCACCCACCTCCAATAACACACTTCCTCCAATATGAGCACACTTACTCCAGCAAGGTCAAACCCCCTAATCCTTCCCAAACAACTCTACTCTTTAGTAACTAAGCATTCAAATATATGAGCCTATGAGGGCCGTCCTCATTCAAACCACCACAGCAAAGGAGACAGCTCAGGAGATCAGCTGCCAGCTATGCAAGCTTCAGGACCTGAGTTCGGATCCTCAACATGCACATGAAAGCTGGATGTGCAGTATGCATCTGTAACCCCAGTGCTAGGGAAGGGAGACGAGTGGATCCCTATGGCTCACTAGCCAGGCAGTCAATCTGAAGCAGCAAGTGATCCGATCTCCAGACACAACATTCAATAGAAGACATTGGACATCAACCTCTGGCCACCACAGACACACAGACCAAGAACAAAAACAATGGCGTTCTGAGCCAGAGCTGTCCTAGTGAGAGCAAGAACAAAGTCACGGCTCAACAGATGTCTTGGAGACAGAGGTGGCTAAGCTTGCTACAGAGATGGACAACTGGGAAGGAAGCGCAGCGGTGTTGATGGTGACCCTGCCAATGCCTTCTGCAAACCTGTGTTACATACCACAACACAGGGAGCTTTATTTGGCTGTCCCTTCCTTCTGACCATAGTAGCCTCTGCCGTGGGTCATTGAGCTACTGGGAAAGCCTTGGTCTCTTCTCGCCTCCCAGACAAACTCTTCTACCTTCCGGGATATCCCTGTCCAAACACTAAACAGGTGCCTGTGACTTGCAGATTTTTACTGGCTGCCTGACTTCTCCCTTCCCGCCTTCCCCAACAGGGATCTCACCTCTGAAGACCAGATTGTACTGCTCAAGTCAAGCGCCATTGAGGTTATCATGTTGCGCTCCAACCAGTCTTTCACCATGGATGATATGACTTGGGACTGTGGCAGCCAGGACTACAAGTATGACATCGCTGATGTCTCCAAAGGTGCGCTTAGACTCCTCCTCTGTTTCCCCAGTGCCCAGACTCTGACTCTATAGTCTCTGAACTCTTGGGGTGGTGACCAGGCGCCTGGAAGAAGAGCGGGCAACAACAGGGAGAGATGGGCGGGGGGGGGATGCCCAGGAGTGGATTCAGGTAGGGTGGGTGCTTCTGCTCTCACACTGGCTGCGCGCTCTCTCTCTCACACACACAGCTGGGCACACCCTGGAGCTGCTTGAGCCCCTCGTAAAGTTCCAGGTGGGGCTGAAGAAGCTGAACTTACACGAGGAGGAACACGTCCTGCTCATGGCCATTTGCATCGTCTCCCCAGGTAGGGAGCCGAGCAGGGAGGAACGGAGAGACCTGAGACATGGTGGGGACGGTCACATGGTAAAGCCCTGCTCAGAGTCAGTGGGGCAGTCTGGGGGAGAAAGGAATAAGAAAGGCAAATAAGGAAACACTCACTTTGCTGAGTTTGCATAGCCCATATGGCATGTGGAGGGGTCCTTCAGCACACGTGAGTTGGTCTCATGGAGGCCAGGGGTGATTCATAGGACTTTGAGGAACCAGATAAGCAGGGTTCCACATAGGCCACGCATAGGGCTTGGGTGTTGCCAGTACTCAGGTTCTGTTCTTGTCTGAACTGGGATGAACTTTCCTGTCACCCGAGGTTCTTGGGAGGCAGGGCACAAACCCTTGTGGAGCAATGGGTGCTTCAGCCTGAGTTGGCTTTGGAGGCTGTGAGCCGTGACCCAAGGTGGGGAAAGACTAAGAAGGGAGTTGTCGCGGTCTTAGAGATGTTATATTGGTGATAAAGTCCAAGGGATACAGTGTCAGCTCAGGCTGGACCATGTGTGCACAGGGGAAAACTAGTGGCCTGTGCCCAGGAATACTTCCCAGGCTGAAGGGCCAGGGAATAGGCATAGGTTTCCCTCCTGGTGCCCAGCTAGCATGTACTCACTCACTCACATGCTCGGTAATGATTTACTGAGTACGTACTATGGCTAGGCACTAGGCAAGGCTCGGGGCGTCGCAGCAAACAGGATAGACTTTTCCCTCAAGAAGATTAGTGGGGGGCTGGAGAGATGGCTCAGAGGTTAAGAGCACTGGCTGCTCTTCCAGAGGTCCTGAGTTCAATTCCCAGCAACCACATGGTGGCTCACACCCATCTGTAATGAGGTCTGGTGCCCTCTTCTGGCCTGCAGGCATACATGCAGACAGAATGTTGTATACATAATAAATAAATAAAAAATTTTTTTAAAAAAAGAAGATTAGTGGGGAAATGAATGCTAGTATCTACTCATTTTCATTATGATGGGAGTTTTGGATATGAAGATGATGTGATACTACAAGAGAGATCCTGAGGGAGGTAAGGGGTATCAGGACAGCCTTCTTCGGGAAGGGCTTTGAGTATGTTCCCTGATGAGCAATCAGGCAGGCAGAGTCGAGAGCTGCCTTCCAGGCAGAGGGAAGAGGCCAGTGTGGAAGATCTGAATACCAAAGACTGAACCTAGAGACAGAAGGAGTGAGGTGATGTGGGGCGGGACCAGAGGAGCCCATGGAAGGACTTGGTCCCAAATACAGAGGGACGTCGTGGGGGGAACACTGACATGGGTATCTGTGTGGATGGATAACTGTGAAACTGAGAAGCAAGAAACTCAGCTGAGTGTCCCTGTGTCTCCCTCCATCCCCTGTGACACAGACCGACCCGGGGTACAAGACGCCAAGCTGGTTGAAGCCATTCAGGACCGCCTATCCAACACACTGCAGACCTATATCCGCTGCCGCCACCCACCGCCAGGCAGCCACCAGCTCTATGCTAAAATGATCCAGAAGTTGGCTGACCTGAGAAGCCTCAACGAGGAACACTCCAAACAGTATCGCTCCATCTCCTTCCAGCCCGAGAATAGCATGAAGCTCACACCCCTTGTCCTGGAGGTGTTTGGCAATGAGATCTCCTGACCAGGGTAACCTGCAGTGGTGCCTGGGTGGGGCCGCTCCTTCAGGCCCTGTGCCCAGGCTCTGGGCAGGTTGAGGTCCAGCAGTGACTCCTGCCCCCTTCTGGAGTTCAGTCCTTCCTCTGCCATTGCCCATGTCTGTCTGGCCCATCCTTTCCTCCTGCCCAGCCTGTCCCCCTTTCCTGTAGATTGCAGGTTGGCCCTGTCCCTTGAGACTTCAGTTAAGGAGAGACTGCTACTCAATTGACAAAGAAACTCAAGCGGGCAGAGCGGGCAGAGGCTGAAGGCAGAGCTCTGTCTGGGGAGGCTCCCATTATAAGGGACCACTGCTTGTGCCAAGGGAGGCAGGCAGGAGAAATGTGCCCATGTCTCAGGGACAGGTACCTGTACCTCCCCACCTTCCCAATGCCTAATGGGAAATCCCCTACCCCTGCCAAAAAGGGTACCCACTTACCCACAATCCTCTGCATCCCATCTCATCCTGCTGCCAGTGTGTGCTATTTCACCCCAGGACCCAATGTGGGGCCTCCTTCCTCTGCCATTATACTCATGGACTTGTTCACTGCCAAGATGACCAAATACACTACCACACTAACCAACAAGTACTCACCTAGCTCCAGAGTTCCCACCTTTGAGGAATTCCCCGGGACCAGGACCTCTGGAACCAGGGGGCTTCTTCCCCATCCCAGAACCACTGACCTAGAAAAGCACCTAAGGATAGGACCCAGGGGATGGGACACAGGCCAAGTAAAGAGGAACAGAGCCAGCCTGTTCTTTCCACGGGACAATGAATGAGACCCCTCTGTCCTTGTCATCAAGCTGAGGGTCCTTCAACCTGGAGATATTGGGACCTCTCCTCTTACCTACACACGTGTCAGGACCAAATGTCCCCAACTTCCAGAAGCTCCCCAGTCCTGTCTTCACCCCTTACCCCGCCAGTGCCTTATCACCTACCTAGAACAGCACCTCTTTCTCTGGCTTTCCGGGAGTTCACCAAGGATGTCCCAGAAGTCATCTCAGCTTCCCCGTCACCCCCATTTGGAGCAGCAGTGTCTCCCCTTGCTTGCCTAGGGGGAGCTACCTTTTCTTCCTGTTGGAAGGAGATGGGGGGAAGCCAAGAGCTGCCCGAGTGGAGCTCCAAGCCTGCTATCCAGATAAAAAACCAGACAGGAGCACTCTTCACCTCCGGAGATAGGTAGGGGTGATCAGAACGTGTGGAGTGCAAAGATATGGGACCAGTTTCCTGATTCCCACCCACCACCCAAAGTCAAGGGAGGCCTATGGAACGGACAGGCGATGGGCTAGGTGCACATCTTCAAATTCCACTCCTCTGTAGCAGCCCCGCCCAGGAGCTTGGAGCCCTGATCCCACTCACCCCAAGCACACCCCTTTCTGATCATGGGTTGTAGGTGTGTGGGACCCACACAGAAGAGGTTCTCATAAGGGGACTCATAGAAGGTCCTTAGGTAAATGCTTGATTTGGGGAACACGGCCACATTGAAAGCAGCAACACAGTGCTAAGGTCGGTGGGAACATAGTGACACTTTTTTGTATTCCCCGGAAACCCTGGGACAAGACAGATTTATCACTGCAAGAACCATTAGTATCCACCTTGCCCGGCGTGTCCCAGAATTCAAGTGGAAAGCATCTGGGGCCACATTCCCATATTGCAAAATGACGTACAGAAGGTTTCATTTTAATTTTCTTAGATCAGGGTTGCTTTCAGAATTAGACCCCACCTAGACTGTGTTCTACCACTGAGGTGGCAGCACCTGAATCAGCAGTGTGTGTGTGTGTGTGTGTGTGTGAAAATATTGTACATTAATGATTATTGTTAGTGCTTTAAAAAACTACAGAGAGACTTGATTTTAGCTGCAGAACACATTGATCCAGCTCGCTGTTCAATGGGAGGGAACGTCTGAAAATTGCTAAGGACTTCAGCGCCTTTATAACAAGAACCTGCCATTAGAGAAGAGCATGGTTTACTGGGGCTTTTATAGTCAGAAATGTCCCCAGGCCAGGAGAAACTCTAAACTTATGGCCCTGGGCCGTTTTATATTGAGCCTGTTTCCACTGCTCTGGTAGATGGCCCAGGGTTTGAGGAAGCCCTGGATTTTAGAGCAAACCGACATCTGGGACTTCCTTCTTCTCCCCCCCACCCCTAATAACCCACCCACCTGTGCAAAGGTCTCGCTTTTGGACTCTCCACTTCAGCCCTGTGTGCTACTGTTGTCTTGTCAATAACATGTGTCGGTCTTTGGAAAACTTCCCTCTGTCCTCTTCCTTTTCTGCTTTCTCCACGAAACTCCACAGGCCTCCAGAGCAGGCCAGTTAATCAGCCCAAGGACCCACCACTGAGGCAGCGCCCAAAGGGAATCCTAGGAGCAGGAGAAAAACAAACTGGCCAAGAAAGGTTGAGAAGCATGTCTAGTTTGTTTATTCTGAACACACGAAGAAGAGCTTGCACTTCTGATAGGTATTACTAGACATGAAGGGAAATAGACAGACACCAAAATGGAAAAGCAGCAAGATTTCCTGAGATAGGAGAATCCTCCTGCTGCCTAAGAGGAGGGAAGTCAGGAGTCCAAGCCGGGTCAACAGTGGTGGTGGACATACGTGACAAATCTGGTGGACATTAGACATCTAAGGAGCCTCTAGAGATTCCTGTAAAGAAAAAAAAATGTTTTCTAAGATTTTGTCAAATAAACCGTGAAAAGGCTTTGCCGAGGGTACCAGACGGCTCACGCTTGCACAGCGCTCACTCTGACAAGCACCGCTGTAAATAAAGGCCTCGTGAAAACCAACTTGCTTGCTCTTCATAAGGACCCATGAAGGTTACCCTCACATGGCGGAGGGGGTCAGCTGCCCACAGCTACACTGGTGGTGAGGGAGAGGTGAGGTTCAGACCTGGGCAGCCATCTCTGGGAACCTTTAATTAATTGCAATGTTCTACTGCCCCCTACGGAGTTAAGCCCTGTGACAGATGATGGGGTAGTCTTGCTGCCACCCTAGGGAGGACATGAGGGAGGTTTCCATTCAGAGATGGCGAAACGGGAGGTGCTGAGTCACAGAGTGCTCTCTCCCCAAGAAGCATCTGGCCTAATGTGTTGGCCGCAGTCAGGTGTGGCACTTGCCAAAGAACATCACCGGGAAACCAAGGGACGCTGGGGACATCTGTTAGACCAGCGCCTCAGAGTGTTACAAGTACCCGCTGTGCATAAATACGACTCTTTAGGGGCCCAGAGGAGTAAGGCAGCATAGTGAATAAAAATGTCCAGCCAAGGACTCAGCTCTGGGAATTGCAGACGGCACTGCTAAGCCCCACACACGTATTTTTTTTTTAAGTGGGTTCAGAAACCTGGGGCATGATTTACCTTAATCTACAGAAACATCTGAAAAGATCTCAAGCCACAAGCTAAGATATCCCAGTGGAGTGAACCGGAGAGAGGAGCTGGACAGAGGTTGGAGGGTTTTCCTAGAGAAAGGAACGCATGGCTACCTACGGCAGGCCCACCTGTGGGAGTGGGAAACTGAGTGCCAGCTCCACAAGTCCTCGGTGTTCTCAGAGGCGGTCCAGACGAGCACTCAATCCAGGAAACACTAAAATCAGACCAAAGTGTTGCGTTCTCACACGCCAAGGTGTTGGTCTATACCTCACTGTTGAACCGCTTAGTTTTATTTTGTTTTATTTATTTACTGGTTTTTCAAGATAGGTTTTCTCAGCTGGGCAGTGGTGGCGCACGCCTTTAATCCCAGCATCTGGGAGGCAGAGCAAGTGGATCTCCGTGAGTTCGAGGCCAACCTGGTCTACAAGAACTAGTTCCAGAACAGGCTCCAAAAACTACAGAGAAACCCTGTCTCGAAATTCAGAAAGAAATAAGAAAGAAAGAAAGAAAGAAAGAAAGAAAGGAAGGAAGGAAGGAAGGAAGGAAGGAAGGAAGGAAGGAAAGAAGAAAGAAAGGTTTTCTCTGTGTATCCCTAGCCATCCTTGTAGACCAGGCTGGTCTTGAACTCAGAAATTGACCTGCCACTGCCTCCTGAGTGCTGTGATTAAAGATGTGTCACCATGCCCCGCTAAACCTCTTAAATTTAAAATCACTAAAATCAAACCAACAGTGGAACATGGTGGTGTACACCTTTAATCCCAGCATTTGAGAGGCAGAAACAAGCAAATCTCTGTGGATTCAGGGCCAGCCTGGTCTACAGAGGGAGTTCCAGAATGGCAATGATCATGTAGACAGAGCCTGTCTCAAAAAACAAAACAAAACAAACAAACCATTTCTACTAGGCATTACCAAAAAAAAAAAAAAAAAAAAAAAAAAAAGCGTTCAGTTCTGCAACTGAACAAGCCACAGTTCCCAGAGTTTCCAGTGCTCAGCGGCCTCAGAACTACAGTTAGCAGTTAGGGACAACATGCATCAGAGCATTTTTATAGTCATAGGGTGGTCTACCCCAAACAGCCGTTCCTGGTGCTTTTGTTTTGGAGATATACTCTTACCATATAGCACAGGCTGGCCTGGAACTTACTACATATCACGGACTAATTTCAAACTCAATGTTCCTGGTAGGATGAGAGAAGGGATGTTGTGGGACAGGGCTCACGGCTGCAGACAACTTCTCGGAGTCACCACATACACGCGTCATATGCTCTGAGTGGCCGTCCACACGTGTTATATGCTCTGAGTGGTCATACCCGTCCACACGCATCATATGCTCTGAGTGGCCATCCACACATGTCATATGCTCTGAGTGGCCATCCACATATGTCATATGCTCTGAGTGGGCGTACACATATGTCATATGCTCTGAGTGGCCGTACACACATGTCTTATGCTCTGAGTGGCTGTATACACACATCGTATGCTCCGAGTGGCCCTACACATGCGTCATATTCTGGACAGTGTTGTGAGGGTGGTTCAAAGGAAGCAGACCCTAAAATGGAGTTTGAAGGCCAGAGTTTTACTGGGGAGACTTTATGTGAAATAGCATGAGACAGAGGAGCTGGACCGAGAAACATCCCTACAGGACCCAGCCCTGACAAGCTCAGCAGAGACCAAGTGTCAATAGTTTACCCTAAGACAACACCTGGTTCCAAGAAAGACCACAAACTGAGACCACCCAGGCACCAGCCAGGACCAGACCATCCAAAGGAAATTCCTAATGTTCCAACCACTGTAGATAGGATCACTGCCAGCACACACCCATTGCTTTTCACCAGGACACCCCTAGACAAATGTCAGTCAAACAGGGGTCCTGAACCTTAGAAATCCCTCACCCCCACCTTTGCTCCTACAAAAACCCAACCCCCAACTGAACTTGAGGCTCTCTGATCTCTCTAATACAATGGACACACAGAAAGTCTGAGTTTACAAACTTGTGTAAGAACAAAGGTTCATTGCTTTTACATACAGGTCTCCTTGTTGGCTTTGGGAGAACTCTGTGATCTGAGCATAACAATCCCAATGAAAGTCTTAGTGCCGCTCAACGGGAGCCTGGAGCTGGGCTGGACTTCGAATGGCCTCCTGTTGAGGAAGATAGGTTTGTTTTGTTTTTTCAAAATTAATTAAATGTATTCATTTATTTTACACCCCAATTGCAGGTTTCCCTCCCTCCCTCCACTGCTCCTGTCTCCTCACCCCCATCCCCGATTTTCTACTTTTACATTAGAGAGCCTGTACCCAGAATGAAGGGTGACCTTGATGTGACCTTGAGATATGACAAGCAGGACCTTTTTCAGAAGACTGCTCTAGCTTGGGAAGAAGCTAGAAGTATTCCAGTGGCTTCCTTGTAGTTCTGGGGAAGGAAACATCCCCCACCCCCATCCCTCCATCTCCTCAACTCCCCCTACACCACCACCACCCAACCAAGCTGCTGATTCTTTGAGCCTCTTCCAGCAGTGAAATCTCAGCTGGAGGCTCATCTTGTGCCTCACCACTAGGGGGAGTTACTACCCTACACCAAGGCCCTAGGGTCCTGCTGCTGAAGTCACCTGCTGGTGTTTCCCTCCTACACCAGTACATTGGACACCTCAAACAGGGGTCTCCCAAGGTCCAGATCTTGTTGCCTCTGAGCCCCATCTGTGCTGAGGGTGAGAAGCCTGGGGTTGTCTACAAGTCTGATTGTGTGTTCTTTCTGAAGGATCCAAGTACAGGCCCACAAACAGGCCTTTGGAGACAGTAGCAGCGAAAGCCACAGAGTAACAGTTAAGGGTGGAAACTACACCCTGTCCTGAGGTTGTCACATGATGTTTTTGAGCCTTGGTTTCTTCCTCTATAAAATGGCAGCTGTAACAGTAACCACCTTGATAGGTTACTGTTGCTATAGGTCATCCTGTGTAAAGAATTCGTCACAGTATCTGGCACATAGCCATCAATCAGAAAGGCCTGCCAGCATCATAGTTGTGCTGCAGGGTGGTCAAATAAATATGTACTAAGAAGGTGACACTGTTCCCATGCTCTGACCACTGATTCTTTCTGGGTCTCTTGAATGTCCCCAGACTTCTGTCCATGGCCTCTTCTTCAGCCTCTTGGTAGGGGCTTCTGTTCCCTGATTATCAGCATCTAAAGAAGGTGTCATTAGCCCATCTGACCACCAGAGGGCAGGTGAGTTGTTTAATGAGCCAAATTGGACCCAACAGAACCAGATTGTCGGGGCAGGAGGGATGGAATCTAAGTTGGGATACAAAGAATTATGGTTACTGCCACCCCAACTTCTTTCAGTTATATCCTTTCTTTTACAACTTCATCCACACAAACCAACAAACAAAGGAAAACCAAAACCAAAACCAGTACCCCTTATCTCCTGATTTCATGAAGTGTGGAATACACCCATAACCGAGGTGAACAGGGACAGGTGCTTAGAGGAGACTGCACAAGGGTCAGGAATCAGATTTGATCTGTCGTCTGTATTTAGGCCATTTTCTCTCGCTCACGTATCCCAGGGTGGGGTATCCCCCACCTCTATCTCTCCAGGGTCCTTGGGTCCCTGGGCCAGATGTTGAGACTTAGGCCACTGCTGTATCCAACAGGTTCCAGCTCTCCACATGTCTCAGAGCCTGCCAGTTCAGAAGCTCTCGGCTTTTCTCAGGACTCCCTTGCCTCTTAAAAACAAGGAACCCTGGGAACTTTTACTTATGTAAACTATACCTAGCTGCTATGGTATGATGGTATATAGCTGTAGTCGAGGCACTTATAAGACAAAAGCAAAAGGATCAAGAGTTTAAGGTCGACCTAGGCTACAGTGAGAGTTTGAGACCGAGGAGGACTGCATGAGATGCTGTTTCAAAATAAATAAATAAATAAAATCTGGCAATATTTATGATGTTAGAAATCAAAACTGAAGAATTTAAAGTACATATTTATGAAGTTTTAAATACAATAAAAATGAATCTTAGACATTAATATTAAACAATTATTATTTAAGACTGTTTCTCAAAGTTCTTTAATGCTGGCCTTAACAGAAGCCAGCTTTGTTCTTTATCGGGTTCTGTGATCAGCCTGGTGTGGTATCATGGTATCATGGCCATCATGGAACTTTGGGGAAAGGGGAGGCACTGTAAATTTGGGAACAGGGATAAAAAAGGTAAATACTGTCTTGGTAGTGCTCTTATGAAAGAGTTGCAACATTTGCTTTTGCAGGATCTCCAAGACTCACAGAGACCCCAGACTACACTTTGGGGCCCCTGCTGTATGCCTTCTGTACACTGCCCCCCCACAGAATCCCCCTTGTCTTTACCCTCATAGTTCCCCAATAAGACAAGTTCCCTTTGCTCCTTAAATCTCCAGCTCAGACTTCATGGCTTTCC